AGGATAATTTTCTGGATTTTAAAGTAATATTTGGTCAATATTTTTTTTTTTTAGGAAAAATACAAATAAAATAGCCACTTATTTATGAATTATATCAAAATATTTCATTGTAACTTACAGTAATTATGAGGGTTAATATTAAAAGTTTAAAATGAAATAAAAAATCAGTAAAAGCTCTGTTTAATAAAAAATAAATCTTTTTTCTTAGCATTACTTACATTATTTGGCACTTCTATAAATATTTTCAGGGCCTTTTTTCGCCCTTTTAGGCATGCCTCTGCCGGTATGGCTTGGGGTTTTCAAGCAATGCGAAAAGCTGGTGTTTCTATGATTTAAGAAGTGCTTCTGGTTGTTTTAACCTGCAAACAATATGGAGACGAGCGTTAGCATCCCCACTCTTTACGACTAAGCAATCACTCTTTACAGCTTAACCAGTCAATCATTTACCATTGCTATTTGGGCATCATATGCATTGATTTTTGAAGGTTAGCCGTTTCGTAACGTAACGTAATCACCTTGTCGATTTCGGACCAATCGAAAGATGCAAGAGACGGCTCTACGCAAAACAAATGGCTTGGGCAAAATGTTGAATCATTTCAACAAAATAAGTGTTCTGGCCTTTATATTGTTTTGACAGAAACACTATTAGGAATCGAACTAAACACATTTAGCAAAAACAAGTTACATGTATCTTATCTGGTGTTGGTATACACACTATTAGCAATTTATCACAATGTTGTGATTATATTTCGGTATAAATGCCACTCTACTTGTTTGTGCATATGTATTAATGTATTAATATGAAGTTAGTTTTTGTTGACCATCTGTTTATCATAAATATAGACTTCGTTCACATTTGTCTTGTTTAAGCCATATATATTATTTGACAAAAGTGTACTTAACTCGAAAATGCCGAAAGTGGAGATATTTTGCTTTTACAGTAACCCCGTGATCCAAACGTTTATTTAAAAATTAGCATGATATTTAGCACAGCGGCCGATGAATGTTTTCGCGAGTTTCGCTCAAGATTTTAAAAACAAACCAATAGTTTTAAAAAACACCTTCTTACTAATAGTGTTTCGGGCCGCAAAAAAAGCTTGGAGGGCCGCAGGTTGAGTATGGCTACTCTAAAACATGGTTTTTGAACGCATCAACGGCTTCTGCCGACGAAAATCTTTGTCCACGGAGTTTATCTTTGATATTCAGGACTGTATGGCGGATGACCCATTAATTCAATGCTTTCAGTACTCAAAAAGTCCCTTATTTGAGCTGATGTGTGCGAGCTTGCATTGTCGTGATGGAGAATTATCCGTCTTTAGCGATTTGTTTTCCTCATTTCTCCGAACACTTCTGACAAACAAATGTATCATTCAGAATTACTGTTCTACGTTGCTCTAATGGCACTGTTTAAAAAAAAAAAAAAACAAAAAAAAAACCATTGTTTCGCAGTGCAACGAGAGTGAACAACTTTTGATGGGGCTTCATCGCCAAAAGTGGAATAAGTTTTTCGATGCACCCTTGTCTCGATAATCCACATCGAAAGTCGTAATAAATAATTGCACGAAAATGTTCATAAATTAATTCCATTTTTTGCTGATACTTTCAATTCTCTGCAGGCACTACATATTGTACTCATATGACAAAACGTTCATAAGGTTAGGTTCAAAAATACCAACCTTTCCAATGGAAATGTCAGTTGTCACCTGACAACATGCAGGTTTGCCAAGGCTTACAATATAAATAGTGGCTCTAGTATTAGCTTGCTGGTGTATTTTGTGTTCTTGAGAATAAAATGATCAATTGACTAACTTCTATAGAAAGTTATTTTAGAGAGTATATTTTTCAGAATTCTAAAAAAAGTGCTTTATAAAAATTTTTAAATATTTTTTCATGTTTTGAGTATTAGGTATAATAGGCTTTTTTTAATATTCATCGATGCCATCCCAACATTCTTCAAAACTGTTCTTTAATCCATCAAAGATTTTTAGATGAGTCATACATCAATATTCTTAAATTTAACTTAATTCTCAGATTGTTGTCACCAAATCTGTCGACTCGATTGTATTGATGCATTGAATGATCATGTGACATTAAATTATTAACTATTATTAAACAAATAAGGAAAAGGAAATGTTCGCTCAAATTTCTCAATAACATGAAGGAAGAAACTCACTGAGTTTTATTAATCCCTCTCTCCAAGTGGGCTAACTTTAAAAATAAGATTGTCAACGTTAGATATACAGCAAGCAAATGAAGGCAAATACATATATTTTGTCTTTAGTTTGTATGCTTATCAAAAAAGTGCTTTGAATTTTTTTCATTAAATAAAGTTTTGACAGTTAAGATTTTAAAATTCTCAAATATCAGTCGTTCTTAAGTAATTTTCATCGGATAAAAATCAGGATTACAGCAGTCGGCCATTTATTGGTAGGGTCCGATTACAATTAAAAGAACAACGCTACGTCATAACCATTACTTCGAATTTCGAATATATATTATCTATAACTATCAGTAAATACAAAATAAGTAAGTTGTTTCGTGTAAAACAATATTTCCTATATTCCTATAAATTAAGACTCTACTAGTCCCGCAATAGTCGGCGATAACCAATTAATTACTTTGCCAAATGATGACGTAGATGTGATCTTCTAATTGTAATCGGACCCTAACGTGATCTATCATCAGTACATCATTTTGTTGAATATTAGAAAACTCCGAATGTAACTGAACCTTCTGCTGTTAGGAATAGAGATTTTTAAGGATATAACTATTTTCTACTACACTCCACTTGTACTCTCCAAATACTAGCCATCACTTAATTAAATTTATTTACAAATACACAGCATATGCACATTTTGATACTATGAAATAAATAAATAAAAAATTAATGCTTCTATAAAACAATTTTGATACTATGAATTAAAAACATAATAGAAATACAGCATAAAAATTCAAAGTATTGTTAACCATTAGTCAAAATGTGAATTTTCATCTTTAATAGTGAACAACACAAAATATCACAGTTTGAGAAATGTCATTGTAATTGCAGATAATTCTGTCAATAAAAGATGTGGTTAATATTATTCATTAGTGCTTTGTGGACACCCAAAAAAAAATATGTGTGACCCAACTTCAAACTCTAAAATAACATTAAAAGTTTATACAATGTTGCATTTAAAAAGAAAATTAATAAAACATGGAAGTATGACAAATACAGCAGAACAAATAACTCAGAATCTTTTTTTTAAGCAAAAGGTCAAATATTTAGCATATTCTTAATTCTTTCTATGTGGAAAACTGCAGTATTCTAAAATACATTATATTATAGACCTTGATTTTTACTACAAATTTTATGTTGATATCGTTTTTTAATGTCGATTTTTTTTTATTTATTTAATTTTAACCCCCCTTAACTCCTCTATTTTTAATCAGATTTTTTTAAAAATCAATAGGCTTCGTCCCCTTATATAACTTAATTTTTCCTAAAAATTTCAAGTTGATATTGTTTTCCGTTTTTAATTTATGATCTTTTTTTTTTTTAATAGATAGAGCTTGAATTTTTCTGAAAATTTCAAGTTGATATTGGTTTTCGTTTTTGTTTTATGATTTTTTTTAAGTTACATTCCTCCCTTAACCCCTCCATTTTTAATCAGATTTTTTTCAAATTCAATAGGCTTCCTACCCTTATAGAGATTGATTTTTCCTGAAAATTTAAAGTTCATATCATTTTTGGTTTTTAACTATCGTGCGGACAAAAAACGTGACATCGGACAGAGGGACATTTTTATAAGTTGTTTCAAATTTGATGAGAAGGATTTTGGTACAATAATTTTTAAATTTGGATAAATATTAAAAATTTTGATTTCTTGGAAGTAAACCTATTCGCTCCGTGCGCGACAGCAGCGCCAATTTGTTTTGGTATTAAAGGAGTATTTCTGCCTATACTGACAAATACAATTTTTAATAGAATTCGTAAATAAAAAGTATATAATATGTTAGTTTTAATAAAAGTATATGGATTTATAAAACAATTAAAACATTAATTTATTATTATTATATATTTTTCACGCTTAAATTGAAGAAAATTATGTATAATCATTAAAAATCAATAATAAAATATAGGCAGGCAACAGTATTTACTGGAAAATGTATGAGAAGTTGCCTAAGTCTAATAAGTTGTCATTGAAGAAACCATTTATAATAGCGTGAAGTTAAAATGTATAAAAAGGATCGCTACTTATATTTTCATTTTTGTTCTAAAGAAAACATAGAATGAATGATTAAAACTGGTTTCCGATCAGTAAGTCACAAAATTGCATACCAGCCAAATATTATAATCAACGGCAGAAATCTTGAAATCTAGTCCTTGCTGAATGAACATTTAAGAATAAAGGGATATTAAAGAACATCGTAAAATGATAATTTATTGTTTATTTAAAAACTTTCTAGTTTCTGATGTCTACTATTTCTAGCATTACTGTTATTATCACAAAAATAAAGGTAATTTTTCTTCTTATTGTACACCTATCCATTTATTTCTTTGATTTAATTTCCACTTTGTTAGTGAAATTTGTTATATAAGTTTCACTGTTTTTTTTTGCTAGTATTTGTACAATTTTCAACACAGCAACTCCGGTTGCTTATTGTGTTGTTTTTACCTACTTTTTTGAAAAAAAGTAAAATGTATACGTGTATTTGATATGCCAAAATTACAAAATATCCCCCTAAAATGCACGAATTATCCGCAGCTAGCGCTAGTATCGCTTTTGCTTCCCTTTCCATGACTTCGCACGGAGCGAATATAATACTCTTCACAGACTACTGTGTGAAGAGTATAATAGTGAGTGAAAAATCGAGACACTTTAATGATTTGAACATTTTCATTTAAGTTATTATCATTAAAATTATACATTCATCATCTGTGATCAGATTGAAGAGTAAAATGTTCATATTAATAAAAACTTCGATTTAATTTTTTAATAATCTTTTTATTTTTGCAGCGAAGGGGGTTTTTTCAAATGTCACCTTTATTTTCCTAAGGAATATCCTCTCAGGCCACCAAAAATGAAATTTGTTACAGAAATTTGGCATCCGAATAGTAAGTATTTCACAATGTTATTGCATTTTTAACATTACTTAACGTGAAGAACTGTCTGGCTATGTATGTTTGAGACAGATTAGTCATTAAAAAAAAAAGTAAGGAAAATCTGTTTAATGAAATCATTAGTCAGATTTCTAATGAGTTGTGGGTGTAAATATATTTATATTATTAAAGTTGTTATTTGCATAATAACAAATTAATCCAGTCAATGAAGCAAAAAAAAATCATCTTGTAATATCTTCGCTTGAAAACCAGGTTATCTATGTCCATTTTTCAAAATTTTATAGTAGAGCATTTTTAAAATTCACCAGCTTCTATTGTGTACATCTTAATGATTTTGTTTTTTAGAACTGTAATTTAGTTTAGTTTAAGGGTTTATAAAAGAGAGAAACCCAAAAATATACTAAAAATTTTAACTGTCTAGGAAAAATTATCATAGAAAAAAAATCTGTTGTGGACATAAAATAAATTGCTTTTTACAAAAAAAATTGTAGCAAAATAAATTATTCTATGTCCACAACCCTTTTTTCTAATAACGAAAAACAGTGATTGTTAATTAACATATTTATTTTAATTCAAAAAAGCAGTATCAAAATAAACAGACTTTGATTTACATACTTAGTAATTTGAAATAGGTACTTAAAAATTGTTTATAATGCATCTCCAAAACTGCAAGTCCACTGCTGAGAAGTGATTAGACAAGCTTCTGATGTGTTCAATTTTATCTGCTGGCAAATTGGGAGGAGGGGGTTGAACTGGAGGCATCGGAAAATTTTCAAAAAACGCTCGTTTATTTTGTCTGGTACGTTTCAAAAACTCCACCACAATGGGATTTTCATCGGAGAAATGTAATTTGTATTTAACACAGCTGGAATTATGCTTATAAGAAATCTGAACTAAGTTTTTGTATGGCACTGTTGTTAAAGTTACAGATTTTAATATTGGTTTAAAATCCACGAATTTATTTTTATTCATCTGGACTATCTGATACGACTTTCTTGCTCGAACATTTTTTATTGCTTTGTAAATAGCTAGTGGATTGTGGAGTTCCAATTTGTTTAAATTTCGGTCCAGGGTACTATGAATTGCGTCCTAGACACAGCTATGACCTGGGACTTGAAATTTTTGAACAATGCACTCAATTTCAGGACGCTCACTTAAAAAATACAATAGAGCTGCCGACATGTGCGAGTTTTTATTCTCGAGCATGCAAGCATCCGACCACAAAATCAGTTTTTTACATTAGGTCTATCCGACAACAGTTTTTCAAGGAGAACATACAAAGCACTTGCAATATCGACACCTTTTCTTCCACCCAACAGTTTATGCCACAGAATGCAATAACCGGTCTTTTTAACTACGTCATTACCAGTCATGTTAGAACACTTTGCATATCGAAACCATAGTAGAGCTGTACACGGATTATTCTTACAGGCTTCTATGTCCTGTTTTTTTTTTTTTTTTTTTTTTTTTTTTTTTTTTTTTTTTTTTTGCGAGCTTCTAGCTTATTTTTTATATGCTCATTGTATTTTTTATTTAAATCTTCTGTGCACATGTTGCATAAATCCTTTTTTCGGAGCATGGAATCCCAGATTAAATTCAAAGTTAAAAATATGATAGTAAAGCCACTTCTTCTGTGGAGCTAATTTTTTTTTTCTTCGCACAACTTTACATAAATCTCATACATTTTTGACAAGGATAGTGTCCTTTTTAAGTATTCTTTGGAGAAGTTACTTCTACAGTAGTGTGAAGGTTTACGAGGGAACATATGTGATCTCTGATTAATTGTCTATGCTCCTCACCAATTCTATTTTCTGTGCGGCATCCTCTTTGGTACTGACAGAGTACATTTAAAGCGACAGTTTACAAGTTTCTTCTGAAAGCCCTAACGGTCCGGCCTGGGTAACTTTTGTATTCTTTTCCAATTTTTCTTATATTTTTCTTCCAATCTTTCTGGTTAGCTTTTCGTTTTCTAGAGCATTTTGTTCTAAAAAATAAAAAAAGCAATCAAAATTAATCAATACATTAATTTAGGTAATAATCGTTTTAAAATACCTTTGAACATCATCGTCGTCTGGCATATCATCCCGACCGTCTAATTCGACCGATGCACTGTTCTCAGGCGATGATATATAACCAATTTTAATGAATGTTTTTTAAACATTTTTGTTATATTACATTATTTATTTGAATCGAAAAGATTCTGGCAAGAGGATTGCAGTTTTTTGACCATTGTTTTTAAAATTTTGAATAATTTACAAAATCCTAAATTGAGTTTTTAATTTTTAAATGGTTTCACTCCAAGTACACTTTTCCGATATGATGATTTGGGATAAGTTGTCTTTATATTTTGTATGCTTTTTAATCATTGTGTCATGTGTTAATATATAATTTTTTGTAGTCGATAAAAATGGTGATGTATGTATTTCGATACTCCATGAGCCAGGAGACGATAAATTCGGTTATGAAAAAGCCTCGGAGCGGTGGTTACCAGTACACACAGTAGAAACTATTTTAATATCAGTTATTTCAATGTTAGCTGATCCGAATGATGAATCACCTGCCAACGTTGATGCTGCAGTAAGTTGACAACATTTATTAATCATTTAATTTTTTTAAATTCCTTTTATAGCATTTATTTAATTATTTATTTATGTAGCACTTAAAGAATGTAAAATTCCAAATCGTACAGTATATCTAACCTAACAAACAATTGTAGGAGTTGCAAACAATATAAAATAAATTATTTTTACCTAATAATCGTGGATGGATGTTTTTGTGCGATGTTAAGAGAAAGAAAATATTTCTCTTTAACGATATATCAAGATATATTTGAATATGTTGTCTGGAAAACTTTTAGGGCAAACAAAATTAACACTGTCATGTCTTATGTGATTTTTTTTAAATAATTTTAAAATTTTGCAGTGGGATCTTGGGCTATTATAGAGCTACCAAAAAGTGGTCTCCACAGGAAAGACAAATTATCTTTCCTGCATGACAGTCCCGAGTTATCCCATGCAACATCATGCCGTCATTATGACGTGATTTTTTGGTGTGCGTTACGTCATTTGATGACGTGAAAATAACGTTATAGTAACGTGAGAATGTCACAGCGAAATGACGTCATTCCATATCGTCATTTTGACGAATCGATATCACGTTAAAGTAACGTGTATATCGGGTGTCCTAGGCTAGGCAAATTGACGTCATTATCACGAATCTACCTAACGTCAAAGTGACGTCTATATTGGGTGTCCCAAGGTTGGATGGAATTATTAAAAATACCAAGCAGATAAAAGTTATTTATTTAATCCAAAAAACACATGAAAAATATATTATAAAAAATAAATTACACTGGTAAATAAAAAAGTCATGTGCAAGAAACCGAAAGGAATAAAATAAAAAAGAATATTAGAAGAACTGACACAACATACCTAAAATTGTAGATTTGATTTTAATTGGGGGTGGGCGAGCATGCTTTACGATTTCATCATCTTCAGTATCATCGAATGACAGCTTTCTAGTTGGCACCTGTTTTCTTTTAGTAGGTATCAGCCTCGGAATGTTGATCTGAGGTAACTTCGACTTTATTTAATTTGATACATCACTTATCATTATCATCTAAAATAAAAGAACTATTAAAATACAGACCACTGAAAATTCTTAAAGATAGAAAGTAAATTGTGTATCTAGTTGTAAAATCTGAGGGGACTTCACCGGAGATTGAGGTAATAGCCCCAAAAACTACCTTCTCAGAGGTATACATATAGTCTAAGTTTATAATAAAAGTTATTAAAAAAAAGATCATATATTCTGTGAGACGATAAAAGGTATCTAAATCAAGTGACCCCCTATAAATCTTTTATTTTTAAATAAACTATTTAAAAAATACCCTGAAAGAACTCACAATCAAAAAATAAAAGTATAACATTAGGGTAAGATAAAAAAGCTAAAATTCCAAGTATTCTTCCACAGAGTAGAAAGCATTATCCATGAGAAACTTGTATAGTATATTTTTAAAACTGTTACAATTACATGTGTCCAAAAGTCATACAATTCGCTGGTAACTTAAAGAACCATGTCCCACAGATAACGGTGAGAATGGCAGTCCCAACTCATGACCCATCAGGTGTTGATTATGGAGCATATTGTTTTTAACTGCATTTCTTCGTGTTCTTTTTTTAATGTTAGTTGATATGGTGTGTACGGTATCTTTTAAAGAAAGTAGCTTGCACTTCCCTAAGATAACTTACGCTTCTATTACATCTAATAACACTTCGAGTCAATCCTGAACATCTACTAATAAACCATCTCCTCTATCACCGCCTATTGTACAACTGACGATAACCTCTTTTCGGCTCAAACCTCAAACCAAACATTTCCTTCAACATCAAACACTTATATGATAACAAAGTCACCTAAACCCAAATGAATCCATCCATCTTCCCCAGACTCATTATCAATAGAGCATAATAAAATCATCAAAATGAGCACTCTTCATTCTAGACCTGGAGGAATTATTGCATCTCTCTCGTATCAGTTTTCTTCATTTGGAAAAATCAAATGTTTTAAATTATGTGCCTAAGAAATTATTTGAAATAATCTCACAAATGATTCTAAATATTATTACCAATTTGAAACAAAAACAAAATTTCGAAATGCTAGAAAAATCTATTTTAGCGAATCTAATAAATTCTATTTTAAATTCTCTCTTTTATATAATAATGAATAGCTTGGTTATATGTCAATGGAATTGTAAATCGGCTAACTCTAATAGAGATAATCTTTGTCATCTACTAAACGAACACAAAATTCAAATCGCTTTTTTATCAGAAACTAGATTCAAACCAGAAAGATATATTAATTTTCCTAGATTTAATATTGTTAGAGACGATCGCCAATCTGAAAATGCTGGTGGTGGTTCAGCAATTTTGATAAATTCAAATTTATATTACAAAGAATGTCAGATGAATGTTGACTTACCTAATGTTAATAAGGTTGGGATCAAAATTAAATTTAAATCTCAAACTATAACATTTGTTTCAATTTATGTTCCTCCAGGAGCCAAAATAACATTATATCATTGGAAAAACTTTATAAAATCTTTAAAGAAGCCTTTTATCATCAGAGGAGATTTTAGCGCTCATCACATTGCTTGGGGAGTAGATAATCAAATAGATCTGAAAAGAAAGATTCTGATGGACTGTTTGGACAATAACAACCTTGTATTTAAGAATGATGGCTCTCCCACCTTTTTTGGTAATTACTATACTGCCAAATCTGCAATTGATCTGACTATTTGTACTCCTCCTGACCTTAGCCTTTTGATTAGCTGGAATACTCTTAAAGACCTATTCAGCTCTGATCATGTACCTATATTAATAGAGTTAAGTTATCAACCTTCTCTATTTACTAATTCCTTTTCTAAGAAATGGAACTTAAAAACAGCTGTTTGGAGACTATATGAACAAATGTCAGAAGAAATTTTTCTTCAAAATAATGTTCCATTATCCTATGAAATGTTCTTACATAATATTAATACTATTGCTTCTAATTCCATACCCAAGTACAAAAATAAAAAAACCGTCATCCAAAGGAAAAGAATGGTGGAACACAAAATGCGATGAAGTAGTAACAAGAAAACGTCAAAGTTTTCATTTCTTCCAAAACAACCCAAATCAAGAAAACTTAATTAAATTCAAAAAAGAATACTATTGCCAAAAAGGTAATAAAAAAAAACTAATACAGATAGTTGAAGAAAATACGTTAGCTCTTTAAATAGATCTGTCCCCATTAAAGAAGTATGGTGCAAAGTTAATACACTAAAAAATAGAAAAAGTGAAAATAAACTCCCTACAATACTCTAAGAATCTACGTGTATAGATTTTCATCAAAATATTACTCCTCCTTCCGCCAATTTAGAAATACCTTACCAATTATCAATGTCCCCTTTTAATAATTATCCTGAAAATATTCGTTACCTTCTTAAACCTTTTTCAGATATTGAACTCCATTTCGCTTTAAAAATGAACACTAATACTTCTCCAGGAGTCGATGATATCCACTACCCAATGTTGACTAACTGCTAGTAAAGCTGCCTTGTTGGCCACATATAATAGTATATGGCGTGGTAGGGCAGAGATACCCAGTGATTGGCATGTTTATATTATCCTACCTATTTTTAGCTGAATTATGTTTTGAATTTGATCCCTTGCAATTCTAAAACTCGCTCACTCTGATATTTTCTTTTCTTCTGATTATATAAAATTAGTAAACTTTATCTGTATAAACATAGGCCTATTTGGGTAAATAAATAAATAAATATTACCCACAAAAAGCTATTAAAATTCAAAATAGAACTTATAGCAGATAAAGAGGCGTACAAAATATATATAGAACAAAAAGAAATAGATTATATAATTTTTAAGGACTGCAAAAGCATTGTTCAAAAATTAAAAGATATTACAATTAACAACGAAATAAATTATATTATCTATGAAATTATTGCTCTAAATAGTGAGGCAAGGAAAATGGGAAAAAATATAACATTATGTTGGATAAAATCACACATTGGAATTCAAAATAACCAAATTGTAGATAATTTGGCAAAAAAGGAACGGATGATAATATCATCGTAAATTCATATCAAGTCCCAAAAAGCCATTTAAATTGCTATAATAAATTATTTGAAATAAGTAAGTGGCAAGTCAATTATAACTGTTCAGACAAAGGTCAATTTTTTTAAAAACATTCAAAGCAAGATACCCTCCATACCATGGTTTAGCAAATTCAGCAACAGAAGTTTTATGAGAACGACTTGCAGAATTAGAAGTAATCATTGCCTGACTCCAAATTATAAAAGAAGAATGAGATTGGTAGACAATGATGAATGCATCTGCGGCGAGGTAGCCGATTTACAACATTTACTTTTAGAATGTATTTTAAATGATATTGACATATCAAATCTATATACCAAACTTATTCAACATAATGTCCAACTACCTATTAATTTGTCTCTTCTTCTCGCGCTCAAGAATCTCGATGTATACAAAACTATAATCATATAAACTCTTTAAATTTAAAGCTCTGACGAAAAGAATTAAAATATGTACAAAAATAATATAACAATATATAATAAATAAAAAAAACAAAATTAAGAAAATTAAAACAACAAGCAAAAAAGGCAAAACAAGTGTAAATTAAAAATTTAAAAAACCGACTTCAAAAACGTGCAGATGCCATCACCACATCTTAACCAAATTTATATGGGATCACCCCTGAGGTACCCCCTTACTAACAAAAAAAGAATCATATAAATCGGAAAAGGTGGTAAAGCATTATCGCTAAACATACATAAAAAATGAAGAGTTTGAGGATTTTCTCATGGACCCAATTTTTAGATTTTGACCAAATTTATATGGGACCACCTCTGAAGTAGCCCCTTTCTAACAAAAAAAGAATCATATAAATCGGACAAGGTGGTAAAGCATTATCGCTAAACATACATCAAAAATGAAGAGTTTGAGGATTTTCTCATGGACCCAATTATTAGATTTGGCTAAATTTATATGGGACCACCC